AGTTGCTAATCTACTAATCCTTCAAATTCTCTCTTATCTTTCACTTTAAAGTATGAATAGAGATAGGTTCCAACTACTGTAAATGCAGAAGACAATAATCCATAAGTAGAAACATGAGTATTGTGAACTGCAAATGATAAAAATGATTCCACAACAGATTTCATTGAAATAGTGACAGAAGTAGTCAATGGAGAGGTATAACTAATTAACATGAAATTAGAAATATTTACAACGTATGCTATTAGGGCTGTTGTTGTGAGAATTGCTAAAAACTTTGGTTCAAATAAATAATTAACAGAAATTGCCTTTTCAAATTCTCCTGTAAAATAGCAAACAGGGAATAAAAACAAAATGGCACAAACAACGTTATAAATTAGAATAATCCAATGATTTCTGTGTGAGGAGGACATTAATTTCTTCAAATAAATTGAATAAAGTGCCATAAAGCAACTGGACATCAATCCAAAAGCAAATCCAATCGACTGCATTTTAGAAAGTTGTAATTCTTCAAATCCAGTCATGAAATATCCAATAGCAATCATTAAACATGCTCCAATAATTCTCTTCTGAACTTTTTCTCCCAATAAAACTGATGTGAAAATCACCGTGAAACAAATACTAATACTTCTTGCAGTGTGGTAGGTGTGAATATCTGCATAATCCAAACACAAATTATTAAAAGTAACCATTCCAACATAACACAATGATACAGGAGCTATTTGTACTGCTGTATCAAATTTAAATTCAAAATCTGGTAAGAAACTAAAACAAGTTCTAATTAAATGATTAGTTTTTTTCAACCTTTGAATAAATCAATTACCAACCTATTTAAATTATAAGTACAAATAATACACAACAATGAGACAATCAAATGAAACCAAGCCATAGTTAATGGAAAATGAAATGAATATTCACCCATATCCATCAAGTATTTTGTCAAAAAGACAGATAGAATTGAAGTTACTGAAAAGAAAGAAATGGCCATTCCAATTTGTCTTTTTTAAAACATGGGATTAATACCATTTCAACAAATGATGACTTACAAATTTGATGCTTCTTTCCG